CTTTAATAATATGTTTTAGGACAGTATTATTCGAATAAACGGCCCGAGGTGTTTATTGTTGATAAGGGTTTTGGAGGGAGCGTTTATTTGAGGGAGGAGCTTATTCGAGGGAGACGTTTATTCGAGAAAGGCGTTTATTTTTTTTATTTTATTTTTTTTTTCGGTGGGGGGGGGGGGGTAAGGGGGGGGGGGTGTAAAATATATACGTATATACTCAAATAAAAGCCTCTAAATTTCACAGTAAGTGTTGAGCTACAACAAATAATTGATCCCAATCAGATTTTAAAACGTGTAATTCTACTAGTGTAGAACAATTATAGAATGTGTTGAAAATGATGTTCCTTCTATTAGATAGTCATTTAGGGTGCCCGTTTATTCGGGGGCGAGGGGTGTATTTAAATAAATACGGTATTTTATCTACTTTTGCATTCTCTTTTATTACGCTCGGTAACTATAAGAATGAGCTACAGTATGATATAATAATAAGTTATTTAATGAGGTTTATGGAGTGAATTTCTTTGTAGTCATGAAATAAAGGATTATCTTATTCTTCAGTTACAGCTCCACTCAACTTTGCCACGTAATAAATACCGTAAATAACGAATTCATTTTTATTTTTTTTTTTTTTTGGAATTTTTATCAATTTTAGATAATAAAAAACTCAACGTCACGAGGTGGACCCTATCAGGAATATTCGAGTTCTGTTCGTGTAAATATGGAAAATTACGAAATGGATACATGCTCCAGTATAACCTGGGAGGCAGAAGAAACCATTATACTCGGAGAAAAGTCTAATTCTGAACCCATATCTATAAAGTTAGTATGTATCTCATCAGCGTTTGAGAATATCTATTGGAGCAGATTTGACGAATACGTAGCGAACGGAACATGCAGAGCCGGAGACATCGATGATTTGCAAAGCAAGTATACCAACATTGTCGATGCTTTGAAGGCGTACCCAGCATTAAAAACCGTTCTTATGGCGCAAGGTAAGTTTCATCAAACCCCTAATGTAATGTGTTATCTAATTTTTGTTAAATCAATCCCTGTGTCCCCTTTAGTTGAAATAAGTAGGCCTATGTTTTGATTTGTCAATTCTACAAATTTATAATGATGAGAAAATGTAGTTTTTGGGTCTGGTGAGGATTCTTATTATGTTGGTGGCGATAATGCCAACCTAATAATACTATTGGTGTGTTACCTATATATTGGTTACGGAGCACTTTTGAGTATAATATACTGCGCTTGCGCATTATACACTCTATGCTGTAGTAGTGGAATTATTTTGTAAAATGGAATGTGTTAAGGTGGGAGTGGAATTTTTCTGTAAAATAGAATGTGTTAAGGTTTATTTCAGTTCATTTATTAGACAGGCATGCCAAGTACAGTGTGAATGTAGTTTTATCAGGGAGTTGGAAATTGATACTACGGTTTGACAGATGACCAATGGCTGATAGCACCTTGTTCGATAATGGACTGTATTTTAGAGTAATTTTGGTTTAGTTTCTGCAGTATACTCATCCTTCTATCAGGAGCCTATATGTTATCACTTGTCATTGAGTCCACCGTGCCTATGGTATTGCTGGCGAATCGATGAATTAGCAGGCAACCATACCAGGATGGTACCCATCTATAACTCTTGGGCAGGTAATGTCCCTTGCTCAAGGACACAAGCAAAATGCACAGCGACGTATAAAAAATCCGACTTTGAGCTTGGAAAACCAAACCGTTCTCATTGCACCACCACTGTCTTTGGTGGTAAGAATGACGATGCCGATGATGATGATAGGCTAATGATGATGACGATGACAATGAGGATGATGATAATGTTAAGAATGAGAATAGCTATGAATATTGTGATCGTATACAACAAATCCTTTTTAAAACAGCGTTCGTCTTAAAGTTCAATCCAAACAATCATTCAAACAAGCCTCACTATTTAAAACTTTTCCCCACCAGATACAACTGTTGAAATTCCTATAACTTGGCCATTTGGTACCTACACAATGCCAATGACCGACACTGTACCAAACGGTTGTCCGGCAACACACTTTTATTGGAAAATCGGTTCCCGCTTTCACGACACTGAAAACAATCTATCGTCAAATGATTGGTCGGATCCGTTACATCTCCTCGGCCCCTACAGACGTAACAACATGCAACAAAACTTCTGTTCAAAAGGCGTAGAAAAAGAGGATGACTACAATTGGCAATTCGGAGCAGGGCAGTATTGCATTTTCAAAAAAGGAAAGGCTTGTCCCTCAGGTAAGTCATATTTGAAATCTGCTGCGTCATGTTCTAACAATTTTAGGTTGTAATAAGTTAATTATGTATGGTTTTCAAAAGGTGTTTTTTTTAGAACCATAATATTAAATTTATACTTTAATTTCTGACTACATAACGTTAGAGAAGTTGGTAAGACGTTGTGTTATTGTTATTTTCTGACATATCGAACTAGGATGTTTACAACCTTTGCGAATATTATAATAACTGTGTTAAAATGTGTCGTTTTGTACATTCTAATAATCTTGTTAAGCCTACAATAAAGAAAGTCTAATTACACACTTGAATATA